GGGGGGGGCTGGAGTCCTAAAAAAATTAATAGAAAAATGAGGCACATACTGACATACATTTACCCAAGAAATTTGGAGGGACTTTAAGAAATTCTGGGGGGGCTGAAGCCCCTCCAAGCCCCAGAACAGAATACAAATTACAAGTTAACAACTACAACTGTTTAGATATGCAATGTCGGTGTTGGTATAAATTCTGGAAATCGAAACATACAATAGTATTTAGCAGCTGCTGCTGCACGGCTGTCTTTAACTCGATATACGATAACTATGTTTTAGAAGAATCCCGTAAAAAAAGACCAAGGAAAAAAGAACAACAGAAAAAAGAACACGGAAAAAAAACAATTTTTTTAATTTTTTAAAATAATAGTTGATTACCGTACATTTTGTTAAAAAAAAAATATATTAAAGTGTTTTTGTTATTTATAATTAGTTTAACATACAACAACATGGTGGTATCATAGTGTCCCCTAACGAATCCCGGAAAAAAATCCCCGGGAAAAAAATCCCCCGACGAACAAACCAGGAAAAAAAATACCCAGACTACAATATTACGCACAACCACAAGCAAATGGTTGAACAAATATTTTTTAAACGTTAATTAGTATCTATAATTAATATTTAATTACAAATACGTATATATTATATTATATTACTTTGTTAAAAAAATTATATATTATAATTTATAAATAATATTTTGTTTTCAATTACGACAATATATTATGTGTAATTCAAATTAACTAACTTAACAACTTCACAAATAGGTATAGCATATAATAAGCATATTTCGAATGATTGATACGTCAAATAATACAGTTAAAAACATATTATACAAAAATATTATTCAAAATATAGGTAATAATAATAATATAAATAAATAACTATAAACAATTTTCAAAAAATTAACAATACAATTTTATATTACTATATTAATACACAATTTATGTTGGTATAATTCTGTAAAAATTAAATCCCCGAAATAAAATATTACGTTTTCAAAACTTAAAATGTTACTATTATGATTGTTCTGTGTCACCTATTCACAGTAAAAACATAACATATAAAAATATTTAGTAGGTATATATAGTAGGTATACAAACATATTATACGAAATATAGATGGTAATAATAATAATAATTATAATCATAATAAAATAATTATCAAACAATAAATATTATTATTATTATTATTATCTATATTTTGTATAAGATTTTTGTATACTATATTTTACTTTACTATTTGTTAAGTACAAAATATTATGAATAATATATAATTTTTTAATATAACTAAAATAATATACTTATTTATAACTAAATATTAATTATAGATACTAATTAACATTTAAAAAATATTTATTCTACCATTTGCATGTGGTTGTGAGTAATATTGTAGTCTGGGGATTTTTTTTCCTAGGGTCGGGGATTTTTCTTCCGAGGTTGTTAGCCGGGGGATTTTTTTTCCTGGGGATTTTTTTTCCGATTACCTATTGTCCATCTAACTTATTATACTAAGTAATACATTTATTTTATTAAAAGTTAAATGTGACAAGCAAAAATACAATAAATTAGCCAACCATTTAAAAAAATTGTTAGCTAGACTTAAAACAAATCTTTTGAAAGCTTACTAACTAATCTCTCTGCAAATGATGGTAGTCTTTGGAAAGCAACAAAAAATGCATGCAAAACTAAAGCCCCTAACGTCCCAATAAAAAAAAACGATGGCAGCTTTGCTATATCTGATGCAGATAAAGCCGAATTGTTTAAACTCCACCTATCTGAAATTTTCCAACCTCACCCTGATATTGCCTCTCCAAATAACATCAATTCTGTGGAAGAGTTTCTAAACTCCCCACTGCCAGTTGCTCTCCCTGTCAAACACTTCACTCCGAATTAAGTTAAATATGCTATTGATAAATACCCTCTCAAAAAATCTCCCGGGTTTGATCACATTACTGCTGAAGTTGCCAGATGCCTGCCAAAAAAAGCGATCATCCACCTCACACATTTATTTAACTCTGTTCTCAGGCTCTCATATTTTCCTTCCCTCTGGAAATTTTCGATTATTATTCTTGTTCCAAAACCCAATAAACCTCCTGACTCCATCTCCTCTTACCGCCCCATTAGTCTGTTACCTTTCTTCGCTAAAATCCTTGAAAGACTTTTACTTAAACGAATTCTACCATGCCTAACTTTAAATTCCATACTTCCCAACTCTCAGTTTGGATTTCGTGCTACCCACTCAACAATCCACCAAGTTCATAGAGTTGTAGATGCAATTTCTTATACATTAGAAAAAAATTATATTGCACTTGCGTTTTTCTTGATATCTCGCAAGCATTTGATAGGGTCTGGCACCATGGGCTCCTTTTCAAATTGAAAAAATTTTTACATCCTGTATACTTCCTGATAATTAAATCATATCTTTCTGACAGATATTTCAGTACTCGTTTAGGTAAAACCCTCTCCAGTATAGCCAAAATATCGGCAGGCGTTCCACAAGGTGGAATCCTTTCGCCTGTGCTCTACAACATCTACGCCTCTGATCAACCAACCTCCCCGAATACGCTAGTCGCCGACTATGCTGACGATAAAGCAATAATCTCAATAAATAATGACCCGGTTATTGCCTCCCACCAGCTTCAAAATCACCTCTCCCTCATGGAAGAATGGTACACCAACTGGCGGTTGAAAATAAACCAGTCCAAATCCATGCATTGTACTTTTACCCTTAGACCTTCTCTCTGCCCAGCTGTCTCCATTCATGGCATCCCTATTCCAAGCTCTCAAACAGTTAAATATCTTGGACTAACTTTAGATCGTAGATTAACCTGGGCCCACCATATTAAGTCTAAACGGACAAACTTAAACTCTCGTTTACGCCTTCTTAAAACATTTATTAACAATAACAAATTCACTAATATCAACTCAAAACTGCTCATATACAAATCTTTAATCAAACCAGTCTGGACTTATGGCATACAGTTATGGGGTAATGCAAAAAAATCAAACTTAAACAAAATACAAACTTTTCAAAACATAGCACTCAGGAAACTTCTAAACGCTCCTCCTTACGTCTCAAATCACACTATACACACTGATCTAAAAATAAAACTGGTACATGAAGAAGCTATAGCTCATTACCAACGCTTCCACAATCGTCTTTCCTCAAATAGCAACCCGCTAATACGTAATCTTGCAGTCCATTCCATTCCTGGAAACCCACCCAGACGTTTAAAACGTAAATGGTGTCGTGACCTACTTGTTCACCCCCCTCCCCTCAACTAATTCAAAGACTGAGCATCAGTTGTTTAACTAATTATTCAAAAATATAAAAAAAAAAAAAATCAATCAATCGAGTGTCATTAGTGGATGACTTCTCACGTCAAGCGTATCATGTTGTAAATTACTCTAACCATATAAACTTATTGTGCCCCTAAGGTATAGATTGTTTATCACAAAAAAAAAAAAAAAAAAAAAAAAAAGTTAAATGTAAAAAAAATTTCATCTATTGTATGACATTAAATAATATACGTAACTCAAAAACGAATCTATGACCATAGGTTCGGATTCATTTTTTGATAGTCGGACAAGAAGTCCGAGCACATTTTTACTGTCGAACAAAAGTCCGAAAATACAAAATTGTCTATTGAATTTGCATTTATAATTTTATTATAATATAACTAATTAGGTACCTACTGTAGACTGTTGTCATCGAATTTTTGGTGGACAAAATGGGATTATCCCACTTTCCATTTTATACCCATGTTTCAGCTATATAATTTCAAATTTCTAATAAAAAATGTACAATAATTATATAAACACAATTTTATTAAAACATGATATTATTGGGTAAGGGTGGTAATTGCAGTATGTTATATTAAAAAATTTAATTTAATAGACAATTTTTACTTTCGGACTTACAGTAAAAATGTGCTCGGACTTTTTGTCCGGGTATCAAAAAATGAATCGGGATTATTGTTCAACTTTTTTCTTACCAGGCTTTTTGTCCCTGGACTTATTTTGAGCTGTTTACGGACATTTTCAGTTTCCAATTTTTTTAGTTTTCCATTTTATAAATATCAATAAACTGTTATTTGTTGCGTAAAAAATCTTGAAAATTTAATAGAAGGCTTCTAATATACTGTTTCTAAGGCAGATGAAAAATATTAAACATCCGTAGTTACCATTTTTTTTAATAAATGTTTAAAGTTTGAATCTTACCAAAACACGTAAAAATGATGAAAATTTGCAAATTGTATTGAGTTAGAAATTCATAAAAATTTTTGTTTTAAAAACTAAGATTTTAAAATATAATACAAAATTTGTCATACCTTTATCTAAAAAAAAATGTTTAAAATAAATTTTTATGAGCTTTTTTTGATAAGCGTAGAAAAAGTTATGTGCAATTTTGTATCACATTTTCAAATCTTATATTTAAAAAGAAAATTCTTATGAATTTTTAACTCAAAATAATTTGCATGTTTTCATTATTCTATGTTTTTTGTCAAAATTCAAAATTTAAATGCTTATAAAAAAATGTACATTTAATATTTTTCATATGCCATTGTTACAATATATTATGAGCCTTATTTATATTACATTTTCAAGCTCTTTGACCCAACGAATAAAATTACATTGACATTTTTATTGACAAAAAACTAAACAAATTTAAAACTGAAATGTCTGTAAACAGCTCAAAACAAGTCAAATTAGTTGGAAACCAAGCCATTATTTCGACTACATTAGTAATACAGGCACAAAAAATTAAAAATTAAAAAAAAAACACATCATTGTAAAATCAATTAAAATTGTTGGTGTAACAAAAGAAATAATGACCCCGTAGATACATGACATTTTTACCGAATGTTTATACAATTAAATTTTAAACACCATACAATATTCAAAATATTTTTAGAGCTAATTATAAGCATATTAATACATTTTCGGTTTTTTTTTTATTTCTGCCTATAAAAATGTTTCAGTCGGTCAAAAAACTTGAAAATGTAATACAATACTTCTTAACCTTCGTGACTTGTTGTAAGTCAGAATTTTAAAAAAATGCAATGTGTTTTGTAAATTTGAATTCAATTCTCTGGCTACTGTATCACTATATAGTGGCAATATAAATATAATAGAAAATAAAATATCTTATGCTGACAGACCGCTTAGAATCGTTTTTCGTATACAATAATATTCTAATAATTTTTTAACAAAACACTGCATTTGAAAAATTAATTAAGTGTATAAAATATTATATACACTTTAAAAGTTTCATGAACCCTCAAACACTATTTATTATCTTAGATTTGAATAGAAATTTTTTAGAAATTTCCTAATTTAAAAAAAAAAATGCAAATTTTCGCGATTTTTATGGATATCCTCGAAATTTTAACTTGAGACGCTTATAAAATACTACCTATTAGACTAACTCTCAACTTTTTTTAATTTTTAAATACAAAAAGTAATGAAAACATTTGGATCGACTGAAAAAATATTTAAATACTTAAAAAGACTGATTATAATATTGTATTCGTTTTAAAATGAAAAGGTTTTTTTCAATTTTTTTTTTAGTTTGTTTCTTCTGGTCAAAAAATGATGATCATTAATGCTTATAAAGCCAAAATGCTTCAAAATCCAGATTATAAAATGGTTCACCTGAAAAAAATACTCTCGATCGATCTCGGAATCGGCCAATCAACTATTTACAATACAATTTTGCAGTACCGACGAACAAAAACCGTTTGTTCGCCGAACAAAACAAAAATAAGAAAAACAATATTCGAAAAAATTGACGAATTTGATAAATATGCTATTAGAAGATTAGTACATCAGTTTTAGCACAACCGTGATATGCCGACGTTGGACAAGGTTCTTGTCGCCGTAAACGAAGAAAGGGATCTACCAGATTTTTCTCGCATATCACTGTTCAGATTATTGAAATCCATGGATTTTGTTTATATCAAGCGAGGACGTCATAGTGCTTTAATAGAAAAATTAGAAATTATTCTTTGGCGGAGAATATATTTAAGGGAAATCAAGCGATATCGCGAGGAAGGTCGGCCTATTTACTATTTGGATGAAACGTGGGTGAACGCCGAAGATGTTAATAGTAAAGTGTGGTTCGACAAGACAGTGACATCAGCTTATATGGCTTCTTCTGAGGGACTTTCCACTGGAGCAGTAAATCCTACCGGCAAGGGAAAACGGTTGATTGTTTGCCATATAGGTTCCCAAGATGGATTTGTTCCCGGAGGTCTTTTATGTTTCGAGTCTAAAAAAAATACGGCAGATTATCACGATGAGATGAATGGGAACTCTTTTCGTGATTGGTTGGAAGGTGTTTTGCCCAGTCTCAAAGACAACGCTGTTATCGTGATGGACAACGCGCCTTACCATTCTGTAAAAATGGAGAAATGCCCAACGACAAATTGGAAAAAAGGAGACATCATCACGTGGCTTCAAAGTAAAGGGGTGGAAGTTGATACCACAATGATAATTCCAGAATTGTTAGAGGAAGTAGATAAAATAAAACCAATGTACAACAAATATGTCATTGATGAAATGGTAAAGACTAACGATAAAATTGTACTCAGGTTACCTTCTTACCATTGCGAGCTTAACCCAATTGAGCTCGCATGGGCTGCTGTAAAAAAACATGTTAGAGATCATAATAAAACTTTTAAATTACAAGATGTTAAAATACTAATGAACGAAGGGGTTAACAAAGTAACTCCAGAGATGTGGAAAAATTTTATCGGCCATGTCGTTAAAGAGGAGGAAAAATCCTGGGAATTGGATAATAAGGTCGATGAATCCATAACTGCTGAAAATCAACCATGCACCCTGACCATGCGATACCGACTCGGACGACGACGATGATGATGACTTCGCGTATTTATCAGATACAGAATAAATTATATTTACAATGTAAATAATCTATATTTGTATTATTATATATAATATAATTTTTTTTTTTTTTTTTCGAATCATACAACCACAATTAGATGATTACAAACAAATGGTAAAAAATCATAGATAACTAAAAATATATAAAATAAATATGAATATATACAATTCAGAGTCCATATGGATATAAATATAAATATTAATAAAATAAAAATAGAAGGATGCAATTATTGGTTAACAGATATAATTAGTGATATAAATGGAATTTATTGTAGTTTATGGTAACATAGTTGTCTGATTTCAATGTTTGTTTTTGTTTTAGCTTTAGATAACCCTTGACCAAAATCTTGCTACTCCGATAGCATTTGGATTTGCATACAGGAGATCTTCTTTCGTACATGAGAATGGGCAGCTTTGGCAGTTCAGTAGATGTTCCATGTTTTGTTCCATACCACACTCGCATGCCCCATTTCTTTAGGTTGTTTTTAGCTCTGCCTACACCTACTCTGAGTCTATTAAGGGATCTCCAGGTTGGCCAGTCTAATTCGTAACCTGCTGGCAGTAGTTCTGCTGGTTCGGACTCTAGCTTATTATTTTCCTTGGAGAGAGAGAGTTTCCACCTTTCTCTTCGTACCTCTTCAGGGTGTTTATTTAGCAGTTTTGTCGTTTTTAGGAAGCTCTTTCTGGATTTAAGTCTGAAATTAGGTGTAGTTTGGTTATGTAGTGGGTGTCGAATGTCAGTTTCTGCTTTGGTTCTTTCCCAGTCTGCTGCGACCTCCCGGCGGATGTTTGGTGGGGCGATACCAGCGAGTTGGTAAATTTTGGGAAGTGGAGTACTCTTAAGGCAACCTGTTACTAAGCGGCAGGATTCATTCAGAATGGTATCTATTTGTTTTGTGTGAGCGGACCTACTCCACACAGGACTGGCATATTCCCCAGCAGAGAAACATAGTGACAGCGCAGATACACGTAATGTATGTGCGTTGGCCCCCCACGTAGAGCCTGTGAGTTTCCGGAGTATGTTGTTCCTTGTAGCAATTTTTAGCTTGGTTTTCTCACAATGGTGTTTATACGTAAGGGATCTGTCTAACATAACGCCTAGGTATGTGGGATGTGCCGAGTTATTTAGTTTGGTATCTCGCCATTCGATTTCCAGAGTTCGGTCTGCCTCTCTGTTTTTAAGATGAAAAGCACATACTTGTGTTTTAGATGGGTTCGGTTTAAGGAAATTTTCATCGTAGTAATCAGACAATACCCTGAGTGATTCTTCTAGTGTACTTTCAACATCTTGGAAAGTGTCACCTTGGACGGCTAGGGCTGTATCATCAGCATATATGAAATGTTTGACACCGGCCTGGGTAAGTATCGGCTGGTCATTAGTGTATATGTTAAAAAGTGTGGGTGCCAATACACTACCTTGTGGGAGGCCATTTTTCTGAATTCTCCATCTACTAACCTTTCCTTCAAGTTCCACACAGTATCGTCTGTTACGGAGGAGGGTGTTTATTGTCCTGGCAAGTGTATTATCCTTAGTTAGATCCTTGATCTTAGAGATCAGAAGGTTATGGTTCACTGTGTCGTATGCCGCCGTCAGGTCTATAAATACTACTCCAGTTATTTTTTTTTTCTCATAGCCGTTCTCTATATGTTGGGTGAGTCCCAATATTTGTCCAGTACAGGACCTCCCTGGTCTGAAACCGCCTTGCTCTTTAATGAGTTTATCATCTATGAAAATTTTTAGCCTGTTCAGGATTAATTTCTCATATAATTTGTAGGTGTGGCAGAGGAGGGAGATGGGTCGGAAGTTTTTTAGATCGTCCGGGGTTTTTCCTGGTTTTAGAAGTGCTATGATTTTTGATTTCCTCCAGATTTTGGGAATTTGTTCTGTGTTTTTGATATTGTTGAAAAGGTCTAGGAGCCACTTTTTGGCAATCGGCCCCAAGTTCTTTATTTGTTCTGTACAAATATCGTCTACTCCCGCTGCTTTCCTATTTTTCAGCTTATCAATGGCGGTTTGGAGTTCTAGTGGTGAAAAATAGTCTCTCAGTATTGATTCCCCCTCACATTGTTTTCCCTCTGATATGTATCTATGGTTCTTTTTTTTTTTTTTATTTTTTTTTTATTTGTCCTACCATTTATAAGTAGTTGATGTGCCACTTGATTTGCTGTTACTGCTGATATGCGTGTTTTGGGTTTCTTGATAAGCCCCCATGCTTTACTGCTGCTGTATTTCATATCCACATCAGCTTCATCTTGATTTTCCACTTCATTTATTTCAATTTTACATATACCACATGTATAATTAACCGTTGAACATTGTAAAATCTCCTCAATTTCTTCAATTTCTTCTTCAGTCGTAATAGTTTGTACAAAATTATTTGGAAGTCTTGTACTTGTCAATCCAACTTTTGGGTCATTTCTAAATAATGCTTTATATTGGCTTCTACCAATAGTACGGTGAAATGAACAATTTTTTTGCCACTGAACAAATTGAAGACCGATTGACCATCTCTGGGACACATTGTCTTGCATCCATGCTCTTAACATATGTTCAACGTCTTGATTGGCCCGCTCAATACTCCCTTGACTCTGAGGATGCCTTGGACGTCCATGTATAATAACACACTCCGGCCAAAGTTGTTTTAATTCATCGATTACACAGTTGACAAACTCTCGGCCATTATCACTTTGTAAAATACTTGGCGCTCCAAATGTTAGAAAAATACTTAGCAAATGAGTACTGACTTCTATAGCCCTTTTACTTTCCATAGGACGGAGGGATATAAATTTTGTATTGTGATCCTGATAGTTAAGTATCCATTTATACTCTCCATCTGGAACAGACTGAAAATCAATAAGGTCCACTTGTCCTCTTTCGTTAAAATCATTTGATGTAATAGGTTTAATATAACGAGTTTGCGGTTCATTGCCTTCTTACAGCTACAAGTTTGACATACTGTTAAAAAAATTTCGATAGCTGGTCTCGGAATGTAGTATTCTTTTTGTATTGCCATTCGAAGTTTGACATTTCCACCAGGCCCAGTATTTATATGAAAGCTCTTTATTTTGTCATATAAATCTTCATAGCTTACAATATACCAATATACCTATAAATAAAATTTAAGTTATTAAAAATTATATTTTTTTATGAAACATTATTGTCATTGTATTACCTAATATTTTCTTCATTTTCAGTAGGTTTGTATATCAAAAAATTTTGGCCCGCAACTTTAAATACTGTATATGTTGCGAGTAAATAATACTCTCAGCGTGTTTTCGTACATCTTAAGACAAAAAAAATGTATAATTGAATTAATAATTTTTATCAATTCAATTAAGCATATTTTTTAACGTCCAAGTAATTAAATACTAGTATAATAATTATAAAAAATTACATAGATATTATGTTTTAGAATCTGAGCTGGGCGTATGAGCGTAAGAATGTATTCAGTTTTATTTTATGTATGTGATCACTTTAAAAAATACATTAAAAATATCAAAAAAAATTCTTACCTAAAAGTTTGATAATATTATTCACAATATTATTACATACGCTATATATAAGTTACATTATATTATTAATTTACACAATAAATATACAATTATATGGATATTTAATTTTTTATATATATAATTATAGCGCACATACGTTTAATAAATTTCATTCGTGTTATTTCTCTTCTCTCATATTTTGTAATGTTGATATTATGGTATTTATTTAATTAAATAAATTCTTACGTTTTAGTTTTAGCAGCTTCAATCTCGGTGATCATTTGCATTTGTTCCTCTTGACTAAAAGGTTTTTTCTTTGGCTTCGTAACATAATATTCTTTTAGCTTTTCATAAAATAATACTTTTTCCATATTTTATTATTTTATAAAATAACGTATTAGTACAACAACTGCAGGTATAAGACAGACTGGCAGACAATTGTCAACGGGATCATACGCTATTTGTATCTTTATCTGTATATTACTATATATCCGTACAATCATTTTATATTTTATCTTGAAATTACCAGATCGACTGACGAACTAGTTTATACAATGTACGAGTTACAGATTATAACAAACGACTTTTATATTTATTTAAAACCCAATTACCTAGTGTAAACCGTACAATTACCCAATACCAAAAATACTCATGCATAATAGTAATTTTACACAATGTGGATAAAACGAATTTCATCCACTTCATGAAGAGGTTAAAAAATTGTCCATATGGTGTAGTAAAAAGTCATTTTCACTAAATGGATACATTTCATGAAGTGGATGTCCACTTCATGAAATGAGCGGTTTCACTAAATGGATGCGACATATATACCTTTAATAGTTTGGAGTGTTAATAGTTTATCCACGTAATAAAAAGGTTAGGTCAATTAGTGAGTAAAAATAAAATGTAAATATTTTGTTTGATAATTTATCATTATACATTACATCTATATATAACTTTATTTGTTTACGCTTGTAACCCGAGTAGGTAGACAAAATGGTTAGATCACAGCCTCGACAACCCGTACTTATCCATACGGAAACTATCAACAAAATCGTTGAACTGTATTTAATTTTTTTCCGGGGTCTTTTCCTATAGGGTGGTTTTCGGAACGAAAAATACAGACCTACGCGAGACATCTCTATCGACGACGGTTTAAAACAAAAAGGTTTCTCTGGAGATTTTATTTCATCCATATGTCCGTTTAAAATGGTTGCCGAGTTCTAATTTATTTTTCCCATCATACATATTTATAATAGTAACAATATTGTAATATCATTTTAATTACCGCGTGGACCACCCTGGGACCAGGCACGCAAAATAAACATTTTTTTTTTTTAATTTGCTTTGCGATGTAATTATCCGACTGGCTATATTTTATTAGAATCATTACAGACAATAACAATTATAATTATAAGATGCGAGCGGGCTACGGAGATGGTATCTTGTGTAGGTAAAATATTATTACATCATAGTTAGTATAGTTACTATCTATAATACGATTTATATACAGAATATTATTATGTGCGTACGTCGCGGTCGACTGAACAGAACGAGTTTGAAGAAAAGTGTTTAACCAAGCATAATATTATGTGTGTCGTATGCTCGTTAAAGTTGGCTTTGGGCCTTTTGGAATGAAAATACGTAAAGATATTAACGATGCGCTATTATTTTTACTTTTAATGTTGTGAGGCGTGTATATAAACTGTCCAACTGATATAACGATAGCGAAACGAATTAATCGTTGCCCAAAGACGAGATGATGTTTAGAAATATCTCGAGATCTCGGACGCACCTCAAAATAAAAATAAAAGTAATTAACAAATAAATATCTTTATAAACAAATATTATGATGGTTTATTGTTAAAAAAAATTATTCTCCACCGAGTGAAATAGTAACAACGATGGGTATAATTATCGCAGTGACTACGTTGTAGTAATGACTGCGTGTTACTGCAGTGGAAATGAAAAAAATATTCCACTTAAATCTTTTATATAGTAATTAAAAGAAAAAAACTATGGTCGACACAGCGCACGGTCCACGTGGATATAGTATATGTTTATGGTATAATAGTACATTAACGACCAGTGTTAGGAACAGATAACAAAAAAATCATCTGGATAAAGATAAAGATAACAACACCTAACCTCGCTGATATGCTTATTGCAATTTATCGCACGAACATGAAAACACATAAGTGGTACTTAAATATTTTTTCCCAATTGCTGGATGTATGTGTTAATAATGCTTGGCTCCAATATCGTAAGGACTGCGTGGAACTAAAAGAAAAAAAGGTTATGCGCCTGAAAGAATTTAGAATAAATATTGCGATTGCTCTGTCTTCTAAAAACAAGCCGAAAGTTGGGAGAAAATCGAAAGAAATGTGTATATCAGAAAATATAAAGATAAAAAAAAAAATTGCACCACGACCAATAGATGACGTTAGACTTGACCGTTATGACCATATGCCTATTGTCGGTGTGATGCTTCCTCCACACTCTCGCGAGCTCGCCTCGTCGCGAGGTTGAACGAGGCGAGGTGAAGCGAGGCGCTAGCTCTATACACTCGCCGAATCGACGCGAGTCAACCATCTACATTCTCGTTTTATTCAATTGTTCGTACCTGGCCGTGCAGAATGGACGTGGTTGAAGCAAGTGCTGCAGCAGCATTGTGCGCCTTTGCATTTTATAATTATATTAATATTTATGATAAAAAAATAATTAAAAAACCTTGGAAAAAAAGGAGATGGTGGATGACTAAAATACACCGAAACAGAACAAAGTAAGTACATTAAACTTTAAAGTTGATAATTATCGACATGTACAACATTATATTATATACATATTAACATTTACGGCTGTTTTTCAGACCAACTATGGATCGTGTATTTACAGAGTTGCTTTTTGAACCATCAGGTGAATTTGAAAATTTTATACGAATGTCCTCATCGGACTTTGAATATATATTAGACAAAATATCACCTTTAATATCCAAAAACGACACTCAATTCAGAGAAGCGATACCTGCCAAAACAAGACTTGCTATCACTTTAAGATTCTTAGCTACTGGAGATAGCTATAAAAGCTTGCATTTTTTATTCAAAGTGTCTAGTCAACTAATTTCACAGATCGTGCCTGAAGTTTGTAATGCAATTAACGACCTCCTGAAAGATGAAATAAAGGTAAAATTGTTTCCTAATAATAAATAAATAAAATTAAACTAGTCAATAATATATAACGAGAACATTATTTATTTAAAACAATCACTTAAAATAAAAATTAATCATAACTTTTTTATACTTTATTAAAAAACAAAACAACTTTTTTGTGTATATAATTAAAAAACGAAATAACTTGTATCTTTAAAAAAAATAACATCTTATTAAAAAACAAAACAACTTTTTTGTGTATATAATTAAAAAACGAAATAACTTGTATCTTTTAAAAAAACAAATAACATTTTAATAAATCAATATTCTTCATCTTCATGAGCAATGTAAAATGCTTGACTTATTATGTTTGAGTTAGTTGGTAGATTTATATCAGTTACATGACTAGGGCTGGACAGTTGTTCTGAATAGAGAGGATTAGAGTACTGAGGATTAGAATATGTTTTATGCTGTATTACTGCAGGTGAAGAAGGATTGGAATATGTTCTATGCTGTACTACTGCAGGTGAAGAAGGATTGGAAATAGAGTACTCAGCACTTTGCGGATAACTTGAAATTATAATTTCAGGTTCAGAATAAGAAGCAAGTGAAGATGGTGGTCGGCTTTGAATACTTGTTCCAAGTATTGGTGTTGAGGTGCATGAAGGTGGTGGTCGGCTTTGAATATTTTTTCCAAATATTGGTGTTGTGGAGCGTGAAGTTGATGATTGATTGTTTGAACGACGTAAGAAATCAATATACAGTCCATCAACTTCATACATGAATACTTCACGTTCGTTTTCTGGTAGCTTACGTATTTTTTTTGCTAGTATCTTTGCATAATAATCGTACTCGTCCTCCTCTTTTCTATTATTGATACAATTTTCTAATGTACTAAATGCCCGTTTCATCTGTTTTCCAGCTTCATCTAACTCGATAGAAGTACCTCGTCGTCGAGGTTTGGACGAGGTTTGGTTTTCTCTTATGGTTTGCTTTTCTATTAGGTTTTCATGATTGAGGGTGTTTGATAAGGTTGTTTCATTACCATTACTATTTTCATTTTCTCCAATCTCACGGATAATTCCTGAATTATACTCCTAACATTAAAATTAAAATAAATATTTCAAAATATAGAATATTTCGAATGCCTATAAATAGCTTAAACATAAGTGAAATATTTTGAACCGTGAAACTCAGTTAAATTTTGTTTTCAGTTGCCGTCTTCTCCTGAAGAGTGGTTAGCGGTAGAAAATGGGTTTAGAACAAAATTTCCCCATTGTATTGGAGCGATAGATGGGAAGCATATCGTTATACAAAGCCCAGCCCATACTGGATCGGACCACTATAATTATAAAAACTCCTTTAGTATTGTTTTGATGGCATTGGTCAGTAGTGACTATCGTTTCATGTATGCAGACATTGGAAGTCAAGGGCGAATTAGTGATGGCGGTGTATTTAGAAATTCATCGTTGTGGCAAAAAATGAGTTCAGATAGCCTTAATTTACCGATGCCATCACCCCTACCTGGTTCAAATAAAGACACTCCATACGTTTTTTTAGGGGATGGAGCATTTGCTCTTGATACGAACCTAATGAAACCATATCCTGGAAATCATACACCCGGATCACCACAACGTATTTTCAACCAAACATTATCAGGCTCCCGAGTTGTGGTAGAAAATGTGTTTGGAATATTAGCGGCAAGATACAGAATTTTTAAAAAACCAATTTCATTAGCCCCAGAAAAAGTTTCAATTATTACCATGACATGTATACTGTTGCATAATTTTTTGAGAAGAAGCGAAACTTCAGCATCAATATATACTCCTCCGGGAACGATAGACTCATGTGATAATTTTGGTTCTATAATTCAACCAGGTTCATGGAGAAACGAAGTTGTTGGAAATTGTGCATTAAGGCCTTTAAATCAAATACCGCGAAGATCATCAATGAGCGCAAACCAGATAAGAGAAGAATTCACAACATATTTTTTTAATAACAGGCAGTACCATGGTCAAGTCAACAGAGTAGACTAACTTCAAAATAATTTTAATTAATTTAAAACTAAAATACTTCATTTTGTAATTATCAAACATTTATAATAAAAAAAATTAATTAAAAAACTAATTTTATCTCTTTTTAAATTTAAGTCGTTAGGTTAGGTTAGGTTATTTAATGTACGTACCTGTTCAGTATTAATCGTAGCGTTACAATCATTAATATTCCCTAAAAAACTCTCGATCTGGTTGAATAAAAACCATATTGGCTGATAAACCTCATTTTGTCCAGCTCCTGATCTAATGGACGCCTTTTTTTTTCTTAAATGTCCGCGAAATGTTGCCATTATTGAATTTTTTTTATTCTTCAGCTCTTCAATCGGTATATTATTTAACTCTTTACTGATTTTGGTCCAGGCATCATTTGTTTTTGCCTTATCTTTATGACCCCGGAGCTTTGGGTCCCATAAAACGGGTTGAGATTGATAATTCTCCATAAATTTTATTGATAGTTCGTTTGTCCAGTCGCACATTTTTAAAATAAAATATTATTCAAATATCCAAAAAAAATAATAGTTAGTTACACTGACTAGCTGACAAGTTGCAAGCACGGTTATGAAAAGCACGTGGTTGCAAGGCGCGCGCGCGAGACTATTCGAGAGTGTAGTTGGTGCTCCTCGCCTCGTGCCGCGTGTCCTTTGACTCGTGACCAAAATACCGACACCGAACGGAGCGCGTACGAGGCGAGGCGAGGCGAGACAAGACGACACGAGTGAACCGACTACACTCTCGTGCTCGCGCTGCCTCGCTTCGCCTCGGCGAGAGTGTGGAGCTAGCATGACAAGTGTGATTCAAGACTATGCATCACATCAACAAGAAATTGTTTTAAAATATTTCATAAACAAAAATAAGTTAAATACGTAGTATTATAATATTAAGTTTTTTTCATTATGTTTATCATTTTCTGTTAAAAGTTATTTTATTTTGATTAATTTTGTTATTTTTAAAATATTTTTTAAATTGTATTATTATTACTTATAACTATATATATAAAGTTTCCAGAGGACATGGACAATTTGAATATAAATTTTAAATTTATATATTGTTTTAAATATTACAAAAATGTTTATAATATTAAGTCGAAACCAGAAGGATGAACTGAATAATTTTTTAACACAATAAATCGATTCCATAATGGTCTCAATCACCAGTTTTTAATTATTAATTGAAACTATAAAAATATTTCAAATCTATTTTAAATAATATTATAAGAAATAGATTATTTCTAGTACTAATCAAGATGAAAAAAAACTATAAATTTAAATTTAAAATAATAAAATTAGAAAAATCGAATTGAAATATTGATTTATTTGGTATATACGTATACATGAAAATAATGACCTTATCTTGGCAATGTATCCTTAAAGATACAGGAACTACAATATCGGTTTCTGGCAATGTATCTTTTAAGATACAATTGGTAACTTTGAACTTTCAAGTCCAAAATTTTTTTTGATAACATATTTGAATTCAGCGACCCCAAATTAGTTTAAAAATATCTACTTTCAAATTTTCATTCCAATATTTTGATGCTTGCCAAGTTAAGGGTTAATGTGACTAAGAAAATTTCCTGTGGAACCTTTTTGCCCTTGAATTATTTTTTGACATAATTGACATTGTGCAGACATTTTTTTATCTGTATCGTTATTACTTTTTATAATTTTAAAATGTTTCCCATCAAAAAGGTAACATGTATTGTTGTTTTCAATTGGTTCTTCTGTGTTAATCTTAATTATATTTTGATCATCGGAATCATCGGGTTCACAATCAGACTGGATTAATTTCCGTTTACTCGAACTGGCGGTTGGATGTACCAAAAACTTATCCATTTTTATTATAAAATTAATAATGTATTAATGTAAATAATATATGAATATATTCACCGACTAACGTACTCGTTCAACTAAAGAGTAAAGACTAAGACAAATGACAATATTGTGTAATTTAATTTCGTAGACCGTAATTATCACGACATCACGTTCATTGATTTGAAGAAATAATAAATGCAATAAGATAACGAGTGGGGAAAATTATTTACTTTAAAAATAATATTCTCAAGAATATATCCTAAAATAATACACACACAAGAGAACCTATGGCTAACGGCCGTTTTAACCAGGCGGGTGGCGGGGGTAACCGGCAATTTTTCGTATCACGTACTATTATTAAACATTGAAAAGATATTTACGAGTATTGTGTATTTATGTCACAGACTTCTATACTATAGATAAGGTACTCGGAGAATTTAACATTGCTAGCGGTGAAGCCCAGCTGTTGGGCGCTTATCACACATCCGCCATTTTGTTGGTTGGCAAAAAAGTCATATTCACTATATTATTATAATACAAAATACTAATAAATAAAATGTTTTAATTTTGCTAATCTACACAAGTTGGTAACTTTTTTCAACTTGGTAAATGGTAATCGTACTTGAATAAAGTACCATTAGTTTTATTTTATTTAGAATTTTTCAACACGTTTTAAAGTAAAAAAGTAGGTATTATTCACGTAGGTTTGATTTATCAATGAAATCGATTTTATGATTTTCAACAAGATTCATACAATTTTGATATTGTGTTAAATTTTAATATATAGCGATAAAATAAGGTAATAAAATAATACAAGTTTACAAGCAATATAAGAGTTTAATAAGTAACTACTGGTGATTAAAAATAATTAATTTAGTAAGTAAACGTCGTTTACTGACATTACAAATTGTTTTTAAATTAGACAAGTGATGTAATCTAATTTTTAAATATTGTTTAGAAATTAAGGTTACCAAATTTAATCTATGGTTTTCTAAAAAACCATCATTGTCACAATTTAGATCTTTAAAAATATTACTACTATATACATGATTTTTTACAGCAAGAATAATTTTGTTACTTAAACCTGGTATATTTAATGTACTAAGACCTAAAGTAAATTGAATTAAAGTATTTTCAATAAATCTAACTATTTTAATTACATTAATTGAACTTTTAATCAAC